CTTAGAATGTTAAAACATGTATTCTCATATCGTTATGGAGATCCACTCCCCTTTTACCAGCTGCCTGGCCCATTATATTTATATTTTGTCCTTACATCACAGAATTGATGCTGCACTTTGGTTTTAGCTTGGAATATCTTCTTACAGACAGCATCATCCTCAATCATTTTGGTCAGCTGGAACACCAAACTAGCTTATTTCAAATTCTGCCTGGATAGAATTTGTTAAAAAAAGTTTCTATTTTGTAGCCCAAGGTAGCACCTAATAAAATTGAAGTTAGCTCACTAGGTAACTAATCAGGCTCTTTCCAGTGACATACTGCAGAAGTCCTTCAACACTGGTCTCTGATCATAAGAATGCTGGACTCTGAAAGGTGTTATACCTCAATCTATCAAGGTGCAAGCAGAGCAAAAATATTATTAACGAGCAACTCCTTTAAAAAAAAAAAGTGTACAGTGTGCAGCAATCGTAAGTCTGCATAAAAATCTCGCAACAAGGATTCCATTTATGTTTTAACACAGCTTTTAAGGCAGCAGGAAATTTGCTGATGGGAGGTCAGTCAAGAAAAATGGGGTGAGGGAAGGAAGCTGCAAGAAGATGAGAGCGCCAGTCATAAAAGTAAGCTTCCAAAGAACCAGTCTATGCTGGAGACTGATCCAGCTTTTATTAGATCTACACAAAAGGCAAATAGATTGCTCCCAGTAGCAGATAAGTAGACAACATAGGTTAACCAAGGGAAGAGAATTAAAAAGGGGGAAATCTGTTCCATATAATACAGAATTTAGAACAAGGGCACACCTCTGGCAAGAGAAGGTGGTTCCCATGAGAAGCAGAAATAGCATATATAGCTTAGTATGTAATAAAAGGCTGGCCACAGACACCGAGAAGGTATAGACAAACAGACCACGGACACAGAAGATGTATTTTTTTCCTCAGCAGTTTAGTAGATATAATTTAAAAGGAACATTTTCCCTCTACATAGTGCGATTTCTTGAACAATATATTTATTAGGTACAAAACACTCCCAACTGTCTTCACATCAAAGAATCTAAAAGCTAATGTTAGCAAGGCAACAAGAAGCCTGTGCCCATAAGAATGGAAGTTGGGCCTATTATGCATCTAGCCAACTCCAGTACTGTGATGCATGTAAAACAAACTCAGGACAGAGCAGGGAATTGCTAGACAGGAAGAAGGTAGAAAACCAGTGTTACAGATTTACTGTGTGAATTTATGGTCAAAACCCCATTCCAACTCCCCTCCAATACTTATATTGGCATTCAACTGCCACTGGAAGTGCTGACTCCACCAATGGAGATATTAGGTCAGATTCTAATTTTTCTGCAAGATGAAACCTGTAGAAAAATCTACTGATTTTAGGAGTGACTTCCAGTGTAGGTCACTGCTATGGGCTTTGTACCACTTGGCTAGCAGTCACAGATTACAGTAATTAATTAAATCCAGGTACTACATCCTGCACTGCTTGTCAGCTATGGCAGGCATGCTGATGAATTCAGTTACATTTCACTGACAGTCCGTCATATTCACACATTTTGGAAATATAAATGGAGGGGAAGACTCCATGGTTACAGCCGTATCCATTACACCTCGTTTTTAATAAGGTTACATTTCTTACTGTAAATGCAAAAAGAAGGTGAAATCACTGTTAATTTGTAATTTCTCAGCCAACAGATTAACAGACCATAAAAGTTTGGCATAGTACATTTTTTACTTATGTTTGGCTACCTACAGTAATCTGCACCCCAGATTTAAAACCCCATCTTAAATACATAATAGATTCAAAGAATGTTTACTTTCTTTTTTTAAAGTTTTATACATTATATACATAAACACATTTTTATTGTAACTGCATTTTGCAGTCTTGTCAAAAGACAGATGGTTGCTGCAGAATGACTGAAATTGTACTCTTAAAAAACAGTTAACTTCCTTATTCTTGGTTGGCTTTGCTGGAAAAAAAGCTTAATTTGTATTTGGTGGATTTTTGCATATATGTTTTATATACAGGCATCATTAGGCAACTACAGGGATTGGCAGGGCTACTAGAAAAGTAACAAGCTGTGGAATGTCAAGTTGCTAGAGGGCTACTTTTTGCCTGCCGTTAGTTTAAGACTTGAGGGCATTTAGCAGGGGCAGGAAAAGAAATCTGAACAAAAAGCATTCAGATTAGATTAGCTTTATGCTGCTTTCAGTTTACAATTTGGAAAAAAATATCTGGCCTCTATTTACAGTGCATTCAGAATCTGAAGAGTGTCTAAAAGTCCTGCTTATTTTTCCTATTCCTTCCCAATGAGATGTCGGCTCCATTTAGGGAGTCAAAATGAGTCACTGCCAGGGCTGTGCACTCTACCTGGGATCCAAAATCTCTGCATCTTGCACAATAAAAAGTGCAGACCAATGTTAGCTGCCTACTGCACTGAAGACATACAAGACTTCTGAATACAGCTCGCTCTCCCACAACTGTGTGGGTTTTTCCAAGGCTGAAAGGAATAAAAAGACTTTTTTGACTAGTAAGGTTGGAATCTGCAAGGAAGCCTAAGGGAATTAAGACTCAAATCCCCCTGGCATTCAGGGGAAGTTGGGCACCCTTTTCTTTAGGCAGACTCTTAAGACAGCAGATGACTCTCAGGGCAAATCTTGCTTACTTTACCCACACACAATCCCACTGTAGCAACGGGACTAGTAGCAAGCGCATGTGACTGTATATAAAGCCAGCAAGCTATGGTCCTTCCTTTACCAAAGACAACAGATCTGTTGAAAACCAAATGTGCCAATTTTATAGTCACTTTTCCAGCCATAAACACCTTTAAAAATGTAGGGCTCAGAGGGTGGGATTCAGAATGTGGCTTTTGGAATGTGCCAAAGTTTCACATTAAAAGGGAAGGTCCACCACAGTGCAAACAGGGCGGCTTCCCACACTGCCCTGAGGCTCTCACTGTACAGTCACACACTAATACTGTCTTCCTAACAATACATCAAAGAGTAAATGATTCTGTTTACAATGCCATGTGTTCAGAGAAACTGCAGGCTTCGAAGCCAGGAGGGATACGACTAGATGTCTCCCGACTACCAGAGTATAACAGCACGGTTTTTAAGTGCTAAAAATCAGCCAGTCACCTGCAATAGGAAAAAAAGAAAGGAGAATTCCTGGTAGTGGATGGGCTGATACTTCCCCTTGCTAGAGGCAGCCCACAACTGGCCACACATTAGCAAATAAAAGCGAAGATTCCCGTGTTTTCAGGGATCTTCGGTTCAGCTCTTGATATTTTGGGGAGGGATTTTTTTTGGCTGATGTAGTTACAACATACACCTATCACCATAGTTATTTTAAAAAACCACCACCATATACTATTTCACAGGGAAACACAAACACAGCTACTATCACACAGCACAAGTGTCCTGCAGGGCAACTCACAGCTTCTTCAAAATGAAAACCCCAAAGAAACAAAATTAAGAGAAGAGGGGAA